ATGCCGCCGTGCCCTTCATCCCCGCACCCGTGGGAGAGGGCGCACGGGCAGGGGAGGGAGGTGGGCCCGCTCTCCAGAAGAGCAGGAGGGCTGGCGAGCAGGAGCAGGAGCAGCATGCAGGATCGGCAAGCGACCCTTGCTGCATGAATCAGTGGACCAGCGGGCAGCAGGTCCAGCTCTCTAGATCACTACCACAGGCTGGCAACGTTGACTTCGATCGTCCACATTTGAGCTACGAACTCCCTCTTGGACTCTCTCTCTCTCATATATATATACATATATACATATATATATATCGAGAGAGAGAGAAAGAGAAAGAGAAAGAGATATCCGTCCACACGGCTGTCTTTCCGCTGAGCCCCTTCCCCAGGAAAGAAGGGAAAGAAAAGAGGAGGGAGCCTGGAGGAGGACGAGGCTTCGGCAGGAGGGAGAGAAGGGCTCCCCGGGAAAAGGGGGGCAGGGGGGCCCTGGAGCCCGGGAGGCCCCCCCCCCGAGGCCCTGAGGCCCAGAGGGCCTGGGAGGGACACCTCGGAGGACCGAGAGCGAAACGAAACCCTGGCAGACCCGACGCTCCAGGGCTGGACCTAAACGTTGTAGGTCGTTTTGGTTGTCGTGCTGTGTTTCGCTTTGCTCGGCCTGCTTTCCTGCACCCCCCGTGCCAGAACGAAAGACAGGGCACGGCCCAAGTCCAGCAAAGCAGCGTGTAGGTCCAGCCCTGCGCGATGCCCCTCGGGACCACCTCGCTCCCCGATCCCCGCCGCCATGACTCTCGCCATGACGTCGACCCCTCAAGGTCTGGACCCTTCCCACGGGACTGGCTTCTCTTCCCGCGTCGCTTCCTGCGGCGCCCAGGCCCGGCGAGGGCCCCCGGGAGGCCGAGAAAGTGACAAGAAACCTCCCGTCGCGTTTTTCTCAGGACTCAAGGGGGTCTGGGCTTCACGCCCGGAGGACGTGGGAGACGGAGGACCGCGGCGGGGACCAGCGTCAGGTGCCTATATGGTAAAGGGGCCAGTGTGATGGGTAATTGGGTCCTCCCCCTCCCCCTCCTGCTCTTCCTCCCCCTCCTCCTCCTCCTCCTCCTCCCCCTCCTCCTCCTCATCCTCCTCCTCTTCCTGTTAGTACTGTTATGAAATATGGCTCGTCATATTAGTAGTATTGTTGTTGATACTCTTACTCTTGACATTGTTAGGCCTCCTTCCTTCCTTCCTTCCTTGCTTCTTTCCTCCTCCTCCTCCTCCTCCTCCTCCTCCTCCTCCTCTCCTCCTCCTCCTCCTCCTCCTTCTCCCTCCTCCGCCTCCTCCTCCCCTTCTCATCCCTTTCCTCCTCCTCCTCCCCCTCCTCCTCCTCCTCCCCCGCAGGGCCTGCAGCGCAGACCCTCCGTGGCCACCAGCCCGTGGCCAGCCGCCGTGGGCCGCCGCGGGCCGGACATCCCGACGTGCCGGCCCGCCGCCCGGCCGACCGCGGCGGGCGCAGCCCGCGCGGCGGCAGCGCACGCGCGCGCCCGCTGCCCGGGCGCGCCCGGCGCGCGGGCGCGGCCTACGGGGGGGGGGGCGCACGTCGGAGGGCGCAGGCCCCTGCCGCTCTTCATCCACGAGCGGGGTACCCCCAGGGGGCCGCAGGCGAACCCTACCCCCCTGCCCCCCACGACTTCTGAGGGGGGAGGGCGGGGTCCGCTGCGCTCGGGAGCTCCCGAGCGAGGTGAACCCCACCCTCCCCCATCAGAAGTCGTGGGGGGTAGGGGTAGGGTTCGCCTGTGGCCCCCGAACCCAGGGTCTCCCGCAGCAAGGCACGCCCCCCGAGGGGGGAGGAGAACGCCGCAGATGGCTCCCAGAATTGTGGGGCATGTCAGCGGCCGCCGCGGAGGGAGCGGGAAGGGCGAGAGGAGCGGAAAGACGAACGACAACGACGACGACGACGACGACGACGACGACGACGACGACGACGACGAGGACGACGGAAGACGACAGCAGGAGGGACATCGGCCTCGCGCAAACAAAAAAAAAAAATCAATCCCCACAGGGAGCGAATCAACCCCGAGATTCGCACCAGAGCTGCACTTCACTGAGGAGGTGGGTGGGCGCCGGCCGAAGCGCCGCCAGCTTGCCGTCAGCTTGCGATGCAAACGTGGAATAAACGCCAGGACGACGCTTTGGTAGGGATCAGCATTCCGCCGAGTGCTGATCCCTACAAAAATGGCCAAAACAAATGGAACTGGCGACTCCGCGCGTTGCCTCACGAGAGCTCCCGCGCCTTCTGCCGCAAGGCGTTCCGGCATGCCTCAAGGGTGCATGCCCCAGCGTGCCGTTTCCAGAATGGCTCATGGTACTGTTCGCTCTTCGGATCCTTGGTTTTCAAAACTGTTTACGTCACCGCTTTCTCTTGGGAGCCTTGGTGCCCAGAATGTTTCACGTTCTCACCAGAATGGGTCAAGGAGGCCAAAAGGAAACACGCCAGTTCCCACGTTCATACTGCGGGGCAGCCCAGTCCCTACCCTACACCCATGGCGGAGGGCAGCCCAGTGCCAACACCCTGGCAGCCCAGTCCCTACACCCAGTGCCGCCTCCTGGGCTTCTGGTAAGCCACGGCTCTGTGCGGCCGTCCTGGGGCCCTCTTGTGCCGCCGTGGGCTCTGTTGGGAGCCTCATCGGCCGTCTCGGGGCAGCCTCGTAGGCCCTCAGAGCCGTCTTCGAACGAGCTGTGCCCGAACAAGCGAAACCCAGAAAACAACGGAAACACTAAAGAAAATCAATGGTTGCCCCCCCCCTCTGGCTGTCTCGGTGGTCCTCTAGAGAGGCTCGTGGGCCGTCCTCGGAGCCTCTGCGGCCGTCTTGGGGTGCCTGAGTCGGCTGGAGGTCCTCTTGGGGCCCTCTTGCATCCTCTCTGGAGCCGCCAAAGGCACTCTTGGGCACTCTTGGGAGCTTCTTGGGGCCCCCTTCGGCCCCTCTTGGGGCTCTATCTTGCCGACCTGGGGGCATTTTGTGCCATCTTGGGGCCCTCTCGGGGGCCTCCTCGGCCGTATTGCGGCAGCCGCGGGGGTCCTCGGAGCCGTCTTCGGCCGATCTGGGCCTGAATTGGCGAACACTCATAAAACAATGGAGAACGAATGGAAAGTTAGTCTTTCGCCTCATCAATTCGTCCAAGGCTGTCTCGGGGGCCTCTTAGGCCGCCTTTGGGAGCTTGGGTCGTCTTCGGGCCCTTTCGGAGCCCTCCTTGGCCGTTTCGGCGGCCTCTCTTGGGAGCCTCTGGGGCCCGTTTTGGGCCCCTCTCGGGGCCCTCTTGGGCCGTCTGGGATCCCCTCTGGGGCCGCCCTGGGGCCCTTTCGGGGGCCTTCTGGGCCGCCTTTTTTGTCCGGATGAAAAGAATACGCTGGCGCGTGCGTGGCAAACTCGCAAGGCCGCGGACAGCTCGCGCTGCCGGGGACATCACGGCCTCAAAAGCGGTGTGGGCAGCGGGAGCGGCTCGCGCTGCCGGACACCTAAAGCGATGTAAAGCTCTGCGCCGCAGCAGTATCTACGTAGGTGGCCATGCCCAGCTCGAACGCTCCGTCCAGCCGAGCGGCCTCTCCTGCTCCCATGGTTCAATAGGATTGGCCTGTAGCTGGCCCGTATCTAGATCGGCAGTCGTGAAAAATCGAGGATTGGAGGCCTGGAAATTGGCACCAACACCAGCACAGGGGGTTGCCTCCGCAGGGGGAAGATGATCCTACATTTCGGTGTTGGTGGTAATTTGTCGGTCACCTTGGAAGCCAGAATATTACCACCATCACCGAGATTGGGATCGACTTCACTCGGAGGAGGCACACCGCCGATCTTGGTGTTGGTGTCAACCTCTAGGCCTGCGAGAGGAGCGAGAGTGGCTTGCGCTGCAGCGCCGCGCGGCCCCAGGAGGAGGACGAGGCAGAAGGCGCAGCGCGCACCACCCGAGGGGCAGCCCGTGCGGGGAAGTGGCGTCTCTGGGCGGCCGCCACGGCAGTTCCCAGCACGGAGGAGGAGGAGGAGGAGGAGGAGGAGGAGAACAGAACAGAACAGAACGACTCTCGGGCGCCTGTGTCGATGTCTATCGGCAACAACTAGAAATAATTGGCGCCTAAGTGGCCTTAGGAGGCAGCTTCACTCATGTCCCGCCACTGCTGGCAGTGGGAATGAGTGCACGGGCCCCTGTCCGCCCGTGGCATGGGTGTACGTGCTCGAAGGGGACGGCAGCACGACTCAAAACTTACATGGCTCAAAACGGAAGTCCGAGGCTCCCAAAAAAAACTTCGAGGTTTGGGTTTCGCTTCGGCTCGTCGTTCCGGGGCCCGACGCTCATGAGTTGCAAACTGACGGGTGTCGCCAGCAACACCCTCAAGCATCAGGCCCGTCTGGGAAAGACCTACGGCCTGGGGGGCCTCGGAAGAGGAGGAGGGGGCAGCAGCAGCAGCAGAAGTCAAAGGGGGACGGGACGGAGACAAGGCCCCCCGAGCCGCGAGTTCTCTGAGCCGAATCGATCCCGCAAGCATGGGACGCCGCGAGACTTCTCGTGCAATCATGGTCACGGTGCGGGCACGTGCCGCCGCATGGGCTCGTCGCACAAAAGCGTCCCCTCCCTCACCACCCACCATCCGACCCACGCTCCCCCTCCCTTCATCCTGCACTGTGCTACTACCTCTCACATATTGGTAATCCTGTCCAACAACTTGGACGCGTCCCTCTCCAGGTTCCCATCTTCTTCTCGCCTCCCATCACCCGTAGGTACTCCAACAAGGCCCGCTCGAGCTCTGGGTACTTCGAATCGACTGCGAAGGTCAGCCGATACTTCTCCGACTTCGATTCCTGCTTTCGGGTTCCCCGCACTCGGCAAGCACGAATCTCCTGCGCGAGGAGGAGGAGGAGGAGGAGGAGGAGGAGGAGGAGGAGGAGGAGGAGGAGGAGGAGGGGGAGGAGGAGGAGGAGGAGGAGGAGGAGGAGGGGGAGGAGGAGGAGGAGGAGGAGGAGGAGGAGCAGCGCCGGAGCAGCGGAGCAGGGCCAGGCGAGGGAGAGGGGGGGAGGGTCGAGGGTGCGCGCCCAGGGCGGGAGGAGGCGTCGCGAGCTCCAGCGGCGCGAAGGCACGGGGCTCGGGCTGCCATGTCAGAGGGGAGAGGTGGAAGGGGCCCCGGGACACACAAACAAACACACACACACACACACACAAATAGCAGAATTCCCCATATGTTCCCATATTTTTTCTGCGTTTGTGTCTTCCCCTCCACTTCCCACATCTTCCCATCTTTTCCGGGGGGTCGACGATTAATTGTGTCTGTGTGTTTCTTTCCCTCCTGAGAAATGGGGGAAGAGAGAGAGAGAGAAGGCAAAAGTGAGCGGGGAGGAACCCCGTCAGGCAGTGCACACGCCAATCTGCTGCGAACCGGTAGAGCAGCCTCGGAGCGGTGCACACGCCAGTGTGCGGCGCCAGTCTGCCGTGGACCGCTAGTCAGATGCGTGCCACAGCCCCTCTCGCACTGGTGCACACTCAGTGGCAACCATTGCTGGCAACGGTCGAGGATGAGCACGTCGACGCTATGTCGACTCAACTAAAAATCAACGAATGCTCAAGCAAGAATCCGCGCTAACGCATCCGATAAACTCGCAGGTGTGTCAAGGTCAAGAGATCAATCCTGAGGCCAGGCAAAAGATGACCTAGAACTGCGCACTAGGAAGGCGAGAGGAGAGGGGGAAGGGAGAAATTACAGTTGAAGGTGTGATCTTCGATGCTGAGGAGGGGAAAGGGAGAAGTGAAGAGATCAGCTGAGACGACGAGGGCACCTTCAAAGACGAACGACGCCAGGGCGCGGCGGTAGCTCACCTGCGCTTGCCGTGACCTCACCTCGACTGCGCTTGCCAGCCATCCTTTGGCGCCTCCTGCGCTGCGCCAGGGACTCGTGTCCAGGCTCCTGCGCGATCCTCTCTTTCCTCCTCTGCTGCTTTTTCCTCGCCGTCTTCTCGAGCTCCTCCGGGATCGCTTCACGATCGCTTCGTGAGGCTTCAAGGAATGTCGCCAAGGCCGGAGCTGACTTGGAGCGATGAAGCAGCTCCTGCCGCCAGCGCGTCTCGTTCTCGTCCACCACATGGATCGCTGTCGCCCTGATCACGATGTACCAACGCGACTCAGGCTGCCACACATCTGACTTGCCAACGGCGGCAGGGCTACCGCACGAGTCACCAATCATCACGACAGCAATGCCCTGCGGTGCGAGCAGAAATTTCACAAGCAAGTGTCAGCCAGAAATGGATTGAGCCGAACTGGCTACGGGGGGCCTTCTGGGCCGTCTTGGGCCGATCCTTGGGGCCTCTGGAGCCGTCTTGGACAGCCGGCGGCACAAACAGGCGAGAACCTTCAAAACCTTCAGAATCCAGGGAAATCCATGCGTTGGGCCTCCGCAGGCCCTCGTGGGAGTCGTCTGGAGGGCCTGTTGGCCTGTCTGGGAGGCCATCTCGGACCGTCTTGAGGGCATCGCAAGCCATCTTCGAGAACGCATTTCGTGGACGCTTGCTTGGAAAAAATCCCTAGACGCGTCGGAACCGACCCCCTCCAAACAGTTGAAGCACCCGGAGAGCCCCCTCCCTCCCACCCTGGGACAGCGGCCTCTCCAACCAGGGGCAGGGAGCCTCCAAGGGGAAAGGGGGATTCGAACCAGCGAGGGGGCTGTCCAGAGAGGTGGGGCGTCGAACCGCCCTCCCCCACCCTCCCCGCAATAAGATTCGATGAGTGCTCGATACGCGTGGCCCCCGATCCCGCTGTGCCTTCTAGGAGCCACGAAAGCGGCGACGGTTGCGCAGTTCGCAGCCACCCAGGGAGCAGCGCAGGAGGAGGCAGGAGGAGGGGGGAGACGGCAGAAAGAGTTCCCCAGGGAGCCGCGAAGTCTCAGATGGGGCACGTGGCCCCCGACACCGCTAGACCTCCCAGGAAGCCACGAAAAGGGCGACAATTGCACAGTTCGCAGCCCCCCAGTGAGCTGCGAGATCCCAATGGGCCGTACACCCACTCTCCGCCTTGCCTCCCAGGAGCTTACGAAAATGGCCACAGTTGCGGACTTCGCAGCCCCCCATGAAGATACGAGGTCTCGGCTGGGTCCGCGTACTCCCCGATTCCGCCGTGTCCCCCAGCAGCCCACGAAAGTAGCGACGGTCACGCAAGTCGCAGCCCCCCAAGGAGATGCGAGGTCTCGGCTGGGTCCGCGTACTCCCCGACTCCGCCGTGCCCCCCAGAACCCCGCGAAACTGGCGACAGTCGCGAAATTCGCAGCCCCCCAAGAAGCTGCAAGGTCTCGGCTGGATCCGCGCACTCCCCTACTCCGCCGTGCCTCTCTCAGGAGCCCACGAAAGTGGCGACAGTTGCGCAGTTCGCAGCCACCGAAGGAGCAGCGCACGAGGAGGCAGGAGGAGGGGGGAGACCGGAGAAGGTGTGCAACGGCAGCGCTCTATTCAAAACGAGAATCCAAAACATGAGGGTTGGGAAAAACTGTTGGGGGGGCGCAGTGGTGAATAGCAGCATTGGAAATCCTCCGATCCCCGATTGCCAGGGGTGCAAAGGCGTGTGAGATGACAGGCTGCCCCCCTCCCCCTTTCACCCTCCCCTGGGATCTGGAATCACATTGGGGAGGGGGGGGGTCTCCGAACGCATCGACGCCCCACCAAGGCCTCCAGAACCCCCATTTCTACGCCCTGCGGCCTCCAAGAAGCCTAAGAACCGATCTACGCTTGCTCAAGCAGGCTTCCAACACGCACACGAGTCTTCGAAGACGACCAAATTAGCCTCACGACTGCCAAGGAGGCCGCAAAGACGCCCACAGGGGGCTACAAGACAACCCCCGAAGGGGCCCCAAGAAGCAAGAACCGTCACAATGCACTGGGGGAACATACTGTTTGAACAGCGTCCAAGACGGCTCAGGGGGCCCCCGCGCTCGCTCCAAGACGGCCGAAGAAGGCCCCAAAAGGACCCCAAGAGTGTCGAAGGGGGCCCCCCGACGGCCCAAGAGGCACCCACGATGGCCCAAGAGAGCCCCAAGAGAGCCCCAACAGGGCCCCAAGAGGGGCCCAAGAGAGGTTACTCGAACTGTCACTCCGAGCCCTCCGCACCACTGGCCATCGCTCGGACGTCCACTTCCTGTGTTTTTCCCAACCATCCTGTGGTGTTGGGTCCTCGTTTCGAAGAGACGGTGGCCCGCGTCTCCTCCTCTCCTCCTCCTCCCCCTCCGCTGCCGTCCGCATGCGTCCCGCACACCCATTTCGGCACACCCCTCACACGTTTCGTGGCCCCACAGGGAGCTCCACCGAAGGCCCCATGGCTGCCGCCCGCATGCGCCCCGCACACCCATTTCGGCACACCCCTCACACGTTTCGTGGCCCCACAGGGAGCTCCACCGAAGGCCCCATGGCTGCCGTCCGCATGCGTCCCGCACACCCATTTCGGCACACCCCTCACACGTTTCGTGGCCCCACAGGGAGCTCCACCGAAGGCCCCAGCGCTGCCGTCCGCATGCGTCCCGCACACCCATTTCGGCACACCCCTCACACGTTTCGTGGCCCCAAGGGAGCTCCACCGAAGGCCCCATGGCTGCCGTCCGCATGCGTCCCGCACACCCATTTCGGCACACCCCTCACACGTTTCGTGGCCCCATAGGGAGCTCCACCGAAGGCCCCATGGCTGCCGTCCGCATGCGTCCCGCACACCCATTTCGGCACACCCCTCACACGTTTCGTGGCCCCACAGGGAGCTCCACCGAAGGCCCCAGTGCTGCCGTCCGCATGCGTCCCGCACACCCATTTCGGCACACCCCTCACACGTTTCGTGGCCCCATAGGGAGCTCCACCGAAGGCCCCATGGCTGCCGTCCGCATGCGTCCCGCACACCCATTTCGGCACACCCCTCACACGTTTCGTGGCCCCACAGGGAGCTCCACCGAAGGCCCCAGTGCTGCCGTCCGCATGCGTCCCGCACACCCATTTCGGCACACCCCTCACACGTTTCGTGGCCCCATAGGGAGCTCCACCGAAGGCCCCATGGCTGCCGTCCGCATGCGTCCCGCACACCCATTTCGGCACACCCCTCACACGTTTCGTGGCCCCACAGGGAGCTCCACCGAAGGCCCCAGTGCTGCCGTCCGCATGCGTCCCGCACACCCATTTCGGCACACCCCTCACACGTTTCGTGGCCCCACAGGGAGCTCCACCGAAGGCCCCAGGCTGCCGTCCGCATGCGTCCCGCACACCCATTTCGGCACACCCCTCACACGTTTCGTGGCCCCACAGGGAGCTCCACCGAAGGCCCCAGTGCTGCCGTCCGCATGCGTCCCGCACACCCATTTCGGCACACCCCTCACACGTTTCGTGGCCCCACAGGGAGCTCCACCGAAGGCCCCATGGCTGCCGTCCGCATGCGTCCCGCACACCCATTTCGGCACACCCCTCACACGTTTCGTGGCCCCACAGGGAGCTCCACCGAAGGCCCCAGTGCTGCCGTCCGCATGCGTCCCGCACACCCATTTCGGCACACCCCTCACACGTTTCGTCCCCATAGGGAGCTCCACCGAAGGCCCCAGTGTTGCCGCCCGCATGCGTCCCGCACGCTCATTTCGGCACAGCTCTCACGCGTTTCGTGGCCCCAAACGGAGCTCCACCGAAGGTCCCAGTGGGTGTGCCCGCATGCGTCCCGCACACCCATTTCGGCACACCCCTCACACGTTTCGTGGCCCCACAGGGAGCTCCACCGAAGGCCCCAGTGCTGCCGCCCGCATGCGTCCCGCACACCCATTTCGGAACACCCCTCACGCGTTTCGTGGCCCCAAAGGGAGCTCCACCGAAGGTCCCAGTGGGTGTGCCCGCATGCGTCCCGCACACCCCTTTCGGCACACCCCTCGCATGTTTCGTGGCCCCATAGGGAGCGCCACCGAAGAAGATATTCACAATTGCGGTATTCACAATTGCATATGGTTGGGACCCCTCCGGGGCGACCTGCGCGCGTCGCTGGGACTCCGCGTTGCGCTGCGCCCGCAGCTTTGGACTTTTGAGTGCGCGGGCAAAGAGGGAGCAAAAGAAGGGGAGGAAGCGGGCGCGATCCTCGCGGTGGCGTCGCGGCGCGCGGGCGATGCCGTCGGGGAGTCCCGGGGAAGCTCCTTGCGGCGGCCACGCCCAGCGTCACGAGTACTCAGAGGCAGTCATTCACAAACTATTAACATTCATATACAATTGTACCATACATTGGCATACTCGCATTCGTGCACGTAGACTCGCTCGCACGCAGATTCATTCACAGTCAGACGCACTCGCGCTCATATTCACCCGCGCTCAGTCTCCCTACGTACTCAGGTCAATCGTTTTCGTTCGCGTTGTGTACCACGCCATTCATTTCGGCACACCACTAGCACGGTTCGTTGCCCCATAGGGATCACCACCGAAAAAGGGAATCACAATTGCGGTACTCACACCTGCATA